GTAGGTTGTCTCTTCACTCTGTCATTTCCTTTGCTGGGCAGAAGCTTTTCAATTTGATGTAGTCCCATTTGTTGATTTTTGATATTATTTCATGCATTAAGGTCCTATTCAAAAAGTCTTAGCCTATGCCTGTGGCTTCAGGTGTTTCCCCTGTGTTTTTTCTTTCAGCACTTGCAAGGTTTCTGGTCTTATATCAAGGTCCTTGATCCATTCTGGTCTGATTTTAATACAGTTTGAGAGATAAGGGTCCAGGTTCAGTCTTCTGCATGTGAATATCCAGGTTTCTCAGCAGCATTTGTTGAAGAGGCTGTCTTTTCTCCTGTGTAAGTTTTTGGCCTCTTTGTCAAAAATCAAGTGGCTGTCAGTGCCTGAGCTTGTTTCTGAGTCTTCTGTTGTGTTCTCTTGGTCTATGTGTCTGTTTTTACACCAGTACCATGTTGGTGTTGTTACTATGGCTTTTATATAATTTGAAATCAGTTATTTTGATGCTTCCAGCATTGCTTTTTTTGCTCAGGATTGTTTTGGGGTTTTTGTTTTGTTTTGTTTTGTTTTTGCAGTACTGGGGATTGAACTCGGGCCTTCTCACTAAATTACATCCCTGTCCCTTTTCATTTTCTTTAGACAGGGTCTCAAGTTACTAAGTTGCCAGGACTAGGCTTGAACTTGGGATCCTCCTGCTTCAGCCTCCCAAAGTGCTGGAATTGTAGGTGTGTCACCACACTTGGCTTGCTCAGGATTGCTTTGGCAAATCTGGGTTATCTGTGCTTTCATAGGGATTTTAAGGGTTTTTTTCTAATTCTGTGAAGAATGTTGTTGGCTTTTTTTTTTTTTTTTTTGGTACCAAGGATCGAACTCGGAACCTTACGCTTGTGAGGCAGGCGCTGGAACCACTGAGCTAAATCCCCAGCCCTGTTGTTGGCATTTTAATAGGGATTGCATTGAATCGATAAGACTGCTGTTGGTAATATGACCATTTTGATAGTGTTCATTCTGCCAATCCATGAGCAAGGGATGTCTTTCATTTTCTGATCTTTTCTTCAATTTATTTTTTCATTTCCGTTAAAGAGGTCTTTCACCTTCTTAGGTTGATTCCTAGGGTTTTTAAAAAGCTTTTGTGGATGGAATTATTTTCCTGATTTCTTTCTTGGCAGGTTCATTATTGGTGTATAGGAATGCTATTGACTTTTTTTTTTGGTACCGGGGATCGAACTTGGGACCTTGTGCTTGCGAGGCAGGCAGCGGAACCACTGAGCTAAATCCCTGACCCTGTTGACTTCTGTGTGTTGGTTTGGTATCCTGCCACTTTGCTGAATTTGTTGATGAGCTCTAAGAGTCTTCTGGTGGAGTTTTTAATCTTCTATGTATAGGATTATATCATCTGCAGATAGGGATAATGAGACTTCTTCCTTTCATATTTGTGTTCCTTTTACTTCTTTCTCCTCCCTAATTGTCTTAGTATTGTACTGAACAGGAGTGGTAAGGATTACTTCATTCCTGACTTTAGAGGAAATGCTTTCAGTCTGTCCCCATTCAGTATGCTGTTGGTTGTGGGCTTGTCATACAGGAACTATGATACTGAATGACAGTGGGCCACAACTTAAGTCTCACAGGAGTCAGACACAGAGTACAGAGGTCTGTAATGGTTGCAGTAAGGAGGAATAGTGGCATATGTTGCTGAGATCCAAAGCTTAGAGGATTTTTTTCATGTAAGGCACAGGAGAAAGAACAGACAGCTTACAAATACTGTAGTAGTAAAGAGCAAGAAGGGTGCCTTCCTCATCTCGAGGCTAGAGGCAAGTACCAGAGCTATGGGAGAGGAAGGAGCTGCCACTTGAGAGGGTTGCAGGGAAAGAAGCAGTTCCAGTCCTCAGTGAAAACAAGTTTCAGTTAGAAGAAGCTGGTGAGTGGAATATGGAAATTCAAATGGAGAATGTAAAGATTTGCTGATGGCTGAGTGATTTCTAAGGGGCCCAGTGGAAGAGATGAAGGGTCCACACAAGGAGGGGTGCAAGATGAAGACATAAAAGGCCGTGTACACATCTGATGACTGGGGATGAAAGCCTAGGAGGTGACTTGTGCTCTGGAGCCACATTGTGGGAACTGGAGTGACTGAGGACACAAGGCCTGAGGATGGGAAGCCCAATGGTCTCAAGATGGGCGAGGAGTTAAAGTTATGAGTACTGGTAGAGGAAGGTGAGCAGAGGTCCTTACAAGGCCCTTTCTCTTGACTACCTCCTCACTCCTGCATGAGACACAGGGGCAGGGCTCCTTATTCAGAGCACTTCATTAAAGATTAGTCATCTGTGTGGCCAGAAAAATAACATACACTGGTTGGTAAAATATACCAATGCCTGCCATATCAAGTTGTCTATTGCTACCCAATAAATTACCCTGAAACCCTAGTGGCGTAAGCATTATCTCATCTTTTCTCTGGATCGGGAATCTTGGCAAGTGTCCTCTGTCTCTAGGTCTCACTCAAAGCTTCAGTCAAAGTATTAGTGGCTCAATCATCCTGAGGCTCAGTGGGGTGTCCAAGCGCACTCAAATAGTTGTTGGCAGGATTCAGCTCATCATAGTGGTTCAGCCCATAGCTCCTCACAAGCTGTTGGCAGAAGGCCTCCCTTGGTCCCTTGCCACATGGATCTTTTCATGCATCGGAGCAAGAGTCAGCAAAAGTGCTAGCAAGACAGATCTAGGAGATGTCATCCCATCACTTTTGCTTCATTCATTAGAAACAAGCTACCAGGTCCAGCCCACACCCAAGGGGAGAAGATTAGGCAAGGGTATGAATACCACATAGCAGGGATCATCAAAGACCTGTCAAGCTGCCCAGCTCTGAACCAGCCACTCATAGAAGAGGAGTCGAGCTGGCTTAGACCAGTCAGGTTCTTCCCTCTTCTGGCACTAGATTCAGGCTCCAAGTCCCAAAGCTGTCATACAATTGAGGAGAGGAGTGGAAGATAGACAAGTGTTGGGAGGACAAGCACAACATTTACAGTACTTGTTCACTGGTGTCCAGGCCTTCATTCCAACTGTGAACCTACTGTTGCTACCATTCAGTGCTGCCTCATGCCCTCAAGATCAAGTCCTCCTATTCCCTTCATGATCTGATCCCACTTCATCTTTCCATCTTATCTCTCATTGATTCTTGGTCTCAGAATGTCTTTAGTACTCCTAAAAGTTTTGAAGGCCCCAAGGACCTTTTATTTTTTTTTAGGAGCTTCTACTTATGTATGTTACAGCTACTGATACTTAGACTAAAAACAAATTTTAAAAATATTTTTTAATATCAGCTGGGCGTGGTGGCACACACCTGTAATCCCAGCACTTGGGAGGCTGAAGCAGGAGGATTGATGTGAGTTCAAGGCCAGCCTGAGCTACATAATGAGTTCAAGACCAACCTGAACTTTACATAGTGAGACTTTGTCTCCAAAAAGCAATTTTTGTGAATTCATTTTAAAAATATAGACCCATTACGAAAAATATAACACATTTTTATGAAAAATACACCATGTTTTCCCAAAAATGTTTTATGAAGAATGACACTGCTTCACATTTTTTCAAGTCTTTAATGTCTGATGTAATAAAATATAGTTGGATTTTCCTGTCTGCTTCATTTTCTCCATTTTTATATATAATTTTGGTTGAAGTATATGAAGAAAATCTAGCTTCACACAGTTACACAGTTTGAAAATGAAGATGCATGTACTTTATTTAATAATCTTGTCAGCTGGGCTGGGGATTTAGCTCAGTGGTTCCACTGCCTGCTTTGCAACCACAAGGACCAGAGTTCGATCCCCAGTACCAAAAAAAAAAACCTTGTCAGCTAATTTTCATGTGTTCTCCTTTAATTGATATATCTTGCATGTAGAATATGAACTTTTCACATTCTGTTACATTAAATCTGTTGAACTATCTGGCACTTTGAGTAGCTTTTACCTGTTTGGAAGATACTGGTTCACTGAGTTATTCAGCTTTTCCAAATATTGGCCCATTTCTTTATATTTTTAACCACATTTTTTAAAATGACTGCCTTCTCTTCAGCAAGGCCTTTCGATGCTGGGAACCTGTGGGTCATAGAAGATTTAAAATCCTAATTTTCACTTAAACACTCAAATTTTATTATTGGCAACAAATTCTGTCATTTGTCATTTTATTCTCCTTGAAGTAATAAAAGTCTTTTTTTTTTACAAAGTGCCAAATACCTATGTCTTAGTAGCCACAATGGATATAATAATTTTGTCACCTAAAAATGGTGCTCCACGAAGAACTGTGACTTCTGGCTGAGCTTCCACCCATTGTGTTCTGGGCCTCCTTCAGCTCTGCTGCCCCCTGCAGGCCTCCCGTTAAGACTGCAAACCGGAATCCGGTTGCATCCTCCGGCCAGTCAGTGTGGGTGCGCGGGGCAGAGGGCAACCAGGGCAAAGCAGGGCCTCTGGCTGCTTAGGAGGGGACTTCAGTTCCAGCACTCAGCACCAAGCCCAGATCTGTACCATTATAAATCAGCAGGGCATACTTTTCAATATAGAGAAAGGACTAATTAAGATATGAAAAGTTTAAAAATCTCAGATTTTATAATTTGCTTTTTCAGACATCTGTTTCATAGCACCTTGTTTCTAAAGAAAAAAGCGTCTGCTTGAAGTTGTGGCCACATTCTGGTGCTGCCTCACTTTGTTTGGGGCATGGCTGATATTCTGAAGCTGCTGTGGTATCTGTGCCAAATCTGTTCCTCAATACGGCCTGAGATATTGTTGGCGATGAGTTTTCTACCAGTGAAAACATGGAGTTTATTGCCTTTCACATTAATATTAATAAAAAGCAATTACTAGATTTCTTCGATAATTTTTCATTGTTTTAATGAGTCTTTCACAAGGGAGAAAAACCCTCTAAAGTATCTATGACTATAATATCTTATTATTTATTAATAAATAATTGTCACAAGGCACTGCACTTTCTAACTTCACAGATTTCAATTCTCCACTTGTCTTTATTTTTTTAAGATTGGCGCCCTCATTTTGGTAGGGACAGAGGAGAGGCTTCTGCCATCTTGATGGGATCGTAGGTTTGTGACTTTTCTCCTTTGAAGGCCCTGTAATTATTTATATACAGCACAAGTTTTGGCTAAATGAGAACATCCTAGGGCAGTGATGGCAAACCTTTTACAGACGAGTGCCCAGACTGCAACCCAAAACCCACATACTTATTGCAAAGTGCCAACACTGCTATTAAACCTGAATACTGAGATTTTATTTTAGAAAAAACAACTCACAGGGCCGGGGATTTGGCTCAGTGGTGCCATTGCCTGCCTCACAAGTGCAAAGTCCCGAGTTCAATCCCCAGTACCAAAGAAATACATTAACACCTTTGTCTTAAAAGAAAAACAACACGTGTGCCATCGGTTCACCACCACTGCCCTTGGAGAATGCATGTGTGTGCTTCCAAACAAGTTCATTCACTCAGTGAAATAATGAACTGAAACAGGCTGTTTTTTAAAAAAATATTTGGGTTAATGATGAGGAAAACAAAAATAGCATCTCTTTGGAGAAAAATAACCTAACAATTTAAAGTGGGACTCAAATTGAAACATAATTCTTTTATGAAATGGGAATATTTTATCTGAGTTTTAAAAGAAATCTAGGCTTCTTTCATTCTTTGAATTTTTTCAAATGCACAAAGTCAGAAACTAATATATATCTTTATTTTCGTACTCTTGTAACTTCTTTAGCCCATGGGTTACAAGTAACTAAGTTGTAAATATTTACACTCCAAGTGATTTAAATTTTACACAGCTTACCTTTGTGACACCAATGTCCCCACAAAGACAAATTGCATCCATGACTCTACTGACTGTATCTACTCCAATGGGAAACATCCTCGAGAGGTGCAGAGCCAGTGCATACACCACCACATGCTGCTCTGCCTGACAGGAGGCAGAGTATACTTTTTGCCTTTATTTTTGATGTAACACTAAAAATAATATTTCCTTTAATTCTTTTTTTCTTTTTGTAGTACTAGATTTTCTTTAACTTTTTGACAGACATTAACCAAAGCCTTAGAAACTGTTCTTGCTAAGTATTGTTACCACCACAGAGCAGATTAAAATTTTCAGAAAAACAAGATACATATTCTACAGGGGTGGATAGCTTTCATTATTAGTATCCTAAATCATCTAAAGATTTGTTTTCTTTCTTTTTTTTACAGACCTAACTACCACAATGAATGCTGGATATTTCAAGAAACCACAAGAAGTTTAAATGTTTGGTTGTCCAATATTCTTGGATTTGATATGAACCAACACATAGTCTTTGTTGTCATTGACAGAACCCCAGTTTGTATGTACATTCACATTCCTGTCTGTTTTGTTAGGAAAAAAAGACATTTTAGCCTTTTTTAAGGTTATTGATTTAATTTTATGTTACTGGATTGCATGATGTTGCCCTTAACCACTAAGAATTATCAAAATTTTTGCACAGACTCACATGTCTAGGATCCTTTTATCAAGGCAGTTATGTTCATCATTTTCCTGCCTTTATCCCACCATCACCAAACACTTAATATTTAATAGTTTAAGTGTTTAATATTAATTAGCATTTTAAGTGGCTTAAGCATTTTAATGCTTAAGGATGGGATTTCCTCTTTGACAGAACCCAAGAACTAATTCCTATATGCATAATGTTGGTATATTGAAGATGAAATTTAAATCATCCTTAAGTTTTGAAGCCACGTGTAAAGTTTAACCATACTGTACAATATCTTTACTGTATTAGAAATAGCTAGTTGACAGCTTATACTTCTCAAAACTCATGTTGTTAGGTACACAATCTGAGTTTCTATGTGTGAAGTTAGCGAGTCTTTTTGTGTTACTCCAAAATAAAGGCAAGGATTTATTTTTTTCCCAGTGCCAGTACAATTTGAGCTAACCACTCAAGGTAAATACTTTACATTTTAAAGCTGAAATCAGCAACAACCCTATGGGAAACCAGACAAAGCATTGAGTTTTAAATACAGACTTTTTAAATGACCTGTTTTCTTTTTGGAACTAGAATTAGAACAGTTAACATTCATCCACAAACCATTACTGTGTACATTATTGTTGCTATTGTGATAATAGAGAATTTTATTTATTTTTATGCCAGCTTATATTGTGAGAACACATTTAGTCAGTTTGGGTTTTATCAATCCTGTTATGCTTGTCCTTGAAACATCTTTCACATATTCAAGGTTTGTAGTTGAAAAGTTTACTGTAAAAAAAATCAAAAACAAAAAAAGTATTGTTTTTACAGAATAAATTTATTGGAATGTGTACTGGGAATAAGCTCTGAGGTTGTAAACAAAGTTAGTGTAATTTGGCTTTATATATGTAATTGTGAGGTATTAATGTAATTCATATATTAAAGCAAAAACTGTTAACACCAAGTTGACGGTAGAATCAAGTGCAGGTAAGGGCTTTTTTTTTTTCCTCCCCCACTTTTTAATACTTTGGGTTTTCAGTTGTTTGGGAGGGAATGACAACACAATTTGCCTGCATATCTAGGAAAATATTTACCAGCTCAGTGGACCCTAAATTCACACACTTGATACTGCTCATGCATTGATTTGTACCCCATTTCCTTTTGGTTTCCTTATTTTGGTAAAGAGCTAATGAGCATGATGAGAAAAGCTGAGAAGATGATGCCGATGGTGGTGATGGCAGCTGAAGCTACACAAGGTCTAATCCATGCACCACTGCAGGGTACTGAGGAGGAACTATGCTTTTGGTCTGTCCCTGTTGTTTAGCAAATACTGACTCTATTACACTTCACATGTTTAATTCATCAAAAGGCCTCTTCATGACTCACACTAAAACATGAAAACAGAGACTGCATTTCTGCATTTTTTGTAACAGATTTTCTTTTCTTTTTTTTGGTACCAGGGATCGAACTCCAGTCCTTCTGCTTGCGAAGCAGGCAGCAGAACCACTAAGCTAAATCCCCGGCCCTGTGTAACAGATTTTCTTAACTAAAAATCCAAAACTTAGGAAAATATATATAAAACATTTCAAATGTAGTAAGATTTGTTTTCATAAAAGGCCAAAAGTAATTTTATTAAAACTATATGCAGAAATACAATAGAAATTTTTTCCAGCCACCAGTAAAACCAAGTGTTTGTTATGGGTAATGATAAAGCTAATTGATTGTGCTTTAGCTGTTTAGATTGACACACACACAAAAAAACTCAAGCAGTTTTTAAAATAGCAGCAAATAATACATTTTACTTGGAAAAACATTTTTCAAACAGTTAAAATATTTTGATGATCTGCCTTTTAAATTGAGATTGATAATGTAGCCATATGCATCTTATAGGCAAAAGTTACTTCTCCAGCCTGGGATTGCTGTTTTGAATTTTTTATATGTATAGACCATATACACTTCTGAGTAATTTTGTTTTTATGCTTACTATTATAGGCACTAAATTGTAATTTTTCACACTTACAGTTATTTAATATGTACAAACAGAATACTGAGATACATGGTGAGGTTTATTCACAGACAATTCTGATTTATTTCTTTAAACAAGCTGTTTCTCAACAACTTCAATTTTCCTTCAAAAAAAAATTTACCCACACAACACTGTTAAGGCTCACACATACAGTGCAGAGCAAGAATTTGTTTTCTTTAGTATTTGTGTTTGAGAAAGGAGTGAAATGGGACAAAATAATCAGTACCAATATAACAAAACTTAGTAATCTAGAGAGGAAGAACATGATATAACATTTTTATTCCACCTTTTCATCTGACTTTGTTTTTATGAAGAACTCCGGTTTGTAGATACAACGATAGGCCAAGAGCTGAGGAAGAACTCCATATGCTATGTTTAACACTAAAAATAGGATTTTCGCTTCTTCAGGGACTCTGTAGGCATAAGCAGTTCTAGCATGGAGAGAAGCACCAATGTGAGAAAACTGAGCCTGTTTTATTGGGGGAAAAAGGGGGGGAGAGTATAAGTTTGAAATATAAACATTGGGACAAAGGGTGAGTTCTTGAATGGGTATTTCAGACCCATCTATGCCCTCAAAATCAGCCTCACGGTGTAATACCTTCAAATAATCCTAGTGTTTAATATGATAGTCTTTCATTAAATCTAGGGCCAGTCTTGATATCTGTGTTTAAATAAAGTATACTGTGTTTAGTGTAGTTTTATCATGTCAGCTCTGTTTTCTAACCCACCCAATGCCCCATATCAAACTTTAGTGGCTGAATTCAACAGAATTCTTTGTCTTTCTGATCTGGATTCTGTAGGTCCTACAGAGAGACTCAGCTGTGGCTCACAAATTATTTTCCAATAAAAATGAAGAAAGTACAGAGTTTTTAAAGCTAAAATATATTTAAAATAATACATTATTTAAGAAGAGGCACTGAGGAACTCAGCTTCATTTATCAGTCTTTCAATTACTGCTTGGAGCAAGTAACTGAGCAAAGCTCATTCATTTACAAATTTTTATTTATTCATGTATTTGTTTTTTATGCAACTTAAAAAATACAAAGAATTGTTTTGTATTATAAAGTTACCAGCTTGGGTAGGGGTAGGAGGATTATGATTACTTTTTATAAAATGGCAAATATATGGGCAAGGCAGCCTTTTCAAGTCAAATTGTAATTTATTTAGAAGTATGACTTGTCAGCATAATCCAAGTTTGCAAAATGGAAAGAAAAGGGTGTCCCTCTGTACTTGTATACTTGTTCAAAACACACATTCAGAATGTACCAGTTGGTCTTTTTTGATACTTTTCGTAAGCATAGAGGACAGCTTATTAGAAAGGGTAACGCAGGCCACAGCAGGATTAAAAGCTTCTGAGAGAAGTTCTACAGGAAGCTTATGTCATTACAAAATGCAGCCCCCAGGTGTGCATTTTCGTGTCTTGCTGAAATTTAAGGTACACATGAATAAAGAATTGGGAACCTGAATGTAGTAAATTATTAGTTCAGTTAGATCAAAGTGAAAAGATAAAAGACTGCAATCCAGAGAAGACAGAAGTAACAAGAATGAATAAATAATTTGCTTTAAATACATTTTAAGTTACATTTCCTTCCATTGAAATCAGTTGATTCTGCTAAGTGATTAACAGATAGTTACCACTTAACTTTGCCATAACAAGAAAAGGGCAAGCTTTTCTAAGCAGCATGTTTATGAAATTTGTATCAATCGCAGATATTTTGATGGGCTACAGTTTTACAAATTACTGGTATATTCTGGATACCTCTGGTACGTTTTTGCTATTTTCTGGAAATAGAGTTTACTGTGGTGTGTTTCCAAGGACCAACGAATGGACTGTCTGCATTGAGAGTGGACACTGAGGGCTCTGCCCTCATACCTCCCCAGGGCAGATGCCAGACAACCCAGCCAATGCATTTGCATCTCTGGGCTGCAACGACAAAAGACTTTCAAAATAAAGGGCACTTTGGAACTGCCCTGAGGAGCCATTGTGAACATCCTAAGAACTCTGAATAGGAGCCTGGCTTCTGTCACTATCTTTCCCTAGGGCCTATTTTGAATGACTTTTTCTGAATATATAACTAAACTTTTTCTTCTGGACTAGAGGCCAGTTTTGAACCCTGGTTTTTCAGAAATGTGGGTTTGGTGGCTTTAGACACTTGTGCACATCACAAAATCAAAAGATTTGGAAAACTGTCCACTGTTCTTTGAGAGAATAATGAGCAGTTGTGCCTACTACCTGCACAGGGAAACCTCATAAAACATCAGTGATTCCGTAGGCCCTTGACCTGCACTGACTGTGCAGCTAATACCTCATTTACACGAACAGCAAACCCATGGCAACATTAAAAATGGATTCATGTCCTTAGATTAGATTGTAAGCCCACTGGGCAGGTACTGTGTCTGATGTTTTGTGTGGCACCTATCACACTGTTACAGCTCAATAAACGTTCAACAACAATGGTCTTGTGGCTGTCAAAATACAAAAGATCTATAAAGAATTTCTGTATTTTTATACCTATTTTATTAGGCCATTCTGTTTAAAATTATTAAGGAAGGGTGAATATCTTAAAATTCCTAACCTGTCTGTACATGAGAAAAGAACTGTGGGGCCAGCTGTCTACAGCCCCTGCTGGAGCACACAGTTCCAGTGGGTGTTTATGGCAGCCACACCGACATAAATACTCCTCCCAGGGTCTATGGTATGAGGTGTCCAGGGTTCTGAAATTTCAGGAAAACCTCAGTCTTACTAGAGGAAGGTTCCCTTCCTAGAAGCAAAGCTGACAAGGGCTGCAAAGTCCCCTGGGTGGTGATGTCACCAGCACACAGGCCCTCCCCACAGTGGCCTGAGTTGCTGGGCCTGCATGCTGTGTGGGGCTTAGGTGGCTGAACTCAGTGCAGATGAAGTACTGAACCCCAGTAATTTCTCCAAATTCAGTGAGGTGAAATTGAATCCCTCATCATTTTTCTTCTATTTCATTCAAAAATCTTTACAACCATACAGAAACAATGAAGAGATGAACTGTTTTTCTTTTTAAAGAATATATGAGTGGGATGGAAAACAGGGCAATGAAGGTCAAAAATACTGTATTTTAATAGCTCTCTATCTCTGGATTCATAGAGACAACCTGGAAAGGATGACTAAAAATTAGTCCTGGCTCCAGAAGGAGTTTGAGTTTTCTGTATTCACATGAATGTTCTAAGCAAAAACCAATGTGAACATTGGGGCAGTTGCCAGGCTGACCAATACAGTATAATAGCTAAGCCAGAATCATGTTAACTTTTCTTAGGGTTTTCTGAGCAGCATAGTATAGTGAGTGGTTCAGAACACTGACTCTGGGACCAGATGGCCAGAGTCAAATTCCAGCCCCAGCACAAACCAGCAAGATGGCCTTGCATGAGGTATGTGACCCTCTGGCTTCCTCGTCTGTAAAAAAGGATAATAATTAAATCTACCTCATAGGTTGTTAGGAGGGTTCAGTGAGTTGAAATTTGTAACAATGTGCTTATGACAATGCCAAACACATGGGCTATTTGTGTACACAGACAAAACAGCTGAAACACCTGTTCATGATCTGGCACTCTGCTTTGTTGAAAACTGGGCTCTTTGTTTTTAGCTCTCCTTGTTGCTCTTTTGACTGTTGCTGTTGCCATCAAAGGATAATAAGCACATAAAGATGTTAAACCCTAACCCTAATTTTAATACTAAATAAAGATATTTGGTAATGAATCAGAAGCAAATGAGTAAAATGGATTTGCATTACTATCTCAATTATCCATGCTCTTAAGCCTTTACTTTCAGCTATTTCTTAAAGGTTTCCATGAAGGAAAAAACATGAAATTCACTTCCAGTAGAGTCACCTTTTTACAGCCAGACTGAGACCAAGCCTCCAACTGAGGAAATTCATGGCACCTGCACAGCCAGGAGTGACAGAGGCTGAGGGCAGGCAGTGGCAAGGAATGGCCCCTGACTGAAGCAGAACTTAACCCTGCTTCGATGGCCAGGTGTAGCTAGCTGGGAGCCCTCTGTGCATCTGCCCCATAGCTTGCACCCTTTGATGTTTAGGTCATATATATACTGCACATAGCTTAAGTAAATTGTCTACAGATTGATTAATCTCTCAGTAACTGTTACAGGGAATCTTATACTGAGAGATTACCAACAGTTACCTGGCTACTATGTTCCAGGCACTATTCTTGGCCCTTTACATACATTACCACATGTAATCTTCATAGCAACACTATGAGAATGATGCTATTAATATTCTCACTTTACAGAAGAGGAAACAATCTGCGGTAAAGTAATCAAGGTCATTTAATCAGTGGCAGGCTGGGATTTGAGTCAGTCTGCCTCCACAGCACCTGCATTTGACCACATTAACTATATTCACCCTGTTTCTCATTTTCAGTGATATTTTAACCCTATACAGTCATCTGTTGGTATGAGGAGTTCCAGGAGCCCCCACAGATGCCAAAATTCATGGCTGTTCAAATCCCTTTTACTCCCCGGTACCAAAAAACTAAATCCCTTTTACTATGTAGTGTGGTATTTGCACATACCCTCTCACAAACGTTAAATCATCTCTAGATTACTTGTAATGCCTAATACAATGCAAATGCTATGTAAACAGTTGTATTGTTTAAGAAATAATGACAAGAAAAAGTCTACATGTTCAGTACGGTTGTGCCCATCATAGGCCTAACAACATTTGTTTTCTTTTAGTTTGATTTTTTTGAGACGGTATCGCTATGTAGTTCAACCTGGCCTCAAACTCACTATATAGCCCAGGCTGGCCTCGAACTCACGGCGATCTTCCTGCCTCAGCCTCCCAAGTGCTGGGAGTACAGATATGCACCACCATGCCTGGCAGTCAACATTTTGTTTATCTGCAGTTGGCTGAATATGCACAGAGAGGCCCAGACTACTTCAGTTGATAGAAAATGTTAGTAACTGGATTGAAGAAGCGTGTAACACTTTTCCAGTTAGGCTTATACCTTGAGTCCTACAGTAAACACTGTATGAAGAGATAGTTGGTTATGAATATGTCCCAGTAGAACTCTATCTAAAAAGTGTCCTGGCTTTATTTTTTTATTCTTTTTCAGTGATCTTTTGATTCTGAAGATAGCAGATTTGCCAGGCCTCTACAGTCTGAAACTGAGGACATTGTAAGTACCCAGTGTATCTTCCTAATCTATGACTTATCCTTGAGCTATCCAGATACAGAACTTTTCAAGGACTTTTTCCTACTAAGTTGCATAGAACCTTAGGAGTTCACTAGATCTTTCAGTAAAAACAGGGTTTGATTATGTCATAGGGTTGCAGATGGAGAAGACGTCTAAATTACATGTGGTAGTTTCAGCAAGCAAGGGGTGTAGGTCAAGGTTCCAGAGAGTGCTGTCCAATGAATGTGTCAGATACCCTCCTAACATGAGGCCATTTCATTAGCAAGTATTTGCTAAGTACAAAACATACCACAGAACTCCAACTCAACATTCTGACCATATGCACTGTTATGCTGCAACACGGGGTGGGGGGGGAGCACTGAGGATTGAACCCAGAGACTGAACACGGAGCTACAATACATCACTAGCTCTATTTATTTATAAATTTTGAAACAGGGACTCCCTAAGGTATCCAGGCTGGGCTCGAACTTGAGATCCTCCTGCCTCAGCTTCCTACAGTGCTGGGATTACAGGCCTGTGCCACCATGACCAGCTTGTACATGATTTCTAACTCTTTTTTAAGTTGAACACTATGAAGAAGTAGATATTAAAGCCTAAGAACTGTGGGACTATCAGCATATAATTCTTGAATTATGCCACCCTTCATTTGCTTGGTTAAGAGAAACATCTTTCTGACATTTACAGGACCTGGGCTCAGCCTCAGCCTCTGTCTTGGCACTCACCAGCAAGAGAGGGGCTTCAGGGGCTGGAGATTTAGCTCAGTGGTTCCACCACCTGCCTTGCAAGCGCAAGGTCCTGAGATCAATCCCCGGTACCAAAAAGAGGGGCTTCAGGCCACCTTGTCAACCAGCCAGTGGTAGATAAGCCCAAGGACTCCTGCAAGGCCTGAAGACTGGATGAAGCTGCCATTGCATGTGCTGTCCACACTGCCTTGCCCAGAGCCACCCAGCTGGAGTCCCAAGTGCCCAGCTGCAAGCTAAGCCTCATCAACAGGTAGTCTGGGGTTGTTTTACTGAAACAGGCTCTAAAACCTCTTTACCCCCAGGCTATGACCCTCCTAAGTCTCCTGACCCTGGCTCTGGCCCAGGACTAGACCTTTGCCTGGGTTTTCTGCCTAGTTCTCTAGTTATCTTCAGAGACTTGACCAAGTCCTACATGGGGCCTCCTTTGCCAGCCTCCAACAGAGGCCACTCACATCTTCCCTGCCTCAGGGGCTGATGGCACCTGAGAAGCAGAGTAACAAGTACTGCTGGACTTTGAACAATCTCTGTAAAGAAAGGCTGACAAGAGTGAGGTGACTGTGTGGTCTCCTGTCCTGGCGGATACAGGAGGGGAACCAGGCCAGGAAAACAAAAGCCAAGGCTTACCTTGCCCATGTCTCTCCCCTGCCACACACTCTCATACCTAAAGCTTCCTCCCATTGCTCCCTGGGGAAGCTCAGCCTATGAAAGTCCCCAGCCCTGCTCTAATGTCCCCCTCCCATCGTCATGCTCACACCACAGCTGTTTGCAGGGACAGAGAGATAACTGGAGACTGTGGGCTCTGCATCCAGATAGGATTTCTTCCATTTAATAAGTGCCACATCTGTCAAATAATTCCACCTGTCCTGAGCTTCAGTTTCGTCTTTTAAATGATGATTTTTTTAAAAAAACCTGCTGCAAAGATACTATGCACTAACCACAGTGTTTCTTGTGAGGTTCACAAGACCACATTTATCAGGCTCCCTACACCTGAGCCATTGCCAGCCTTGGCCCTTGAGATTATCACGAGCAAGAAGTAAAACCAGGCTAAGGTTAGTTTCTGAATGCTTGTTATTGCAGCAGAGCACACAGCCTGTCCTTACAAACAGGTACGTGAAACACTGAGCAGGGTTTGCCCAGCATGAAATAGCACCCTGAGAATGGGGGCTAATGCAGTGGCAGTGGAGCTGGAAGAGAGGGATGGGTTTGAGAGCTGCCCTGGAGACACCTACCCTAGAGACACCTACCCTGGAGCTGACATAGAGGCCGGCTAGATGGAGAGGTGAGAGAAAGAGAAAGGGAGGGAAAGCCACATTCTGGGCTTGGGCTGCTTGATGCAAGGGGGGACTGTTTTCAAAGATGATTGGAAAACAAAAGTTGTGGGGAGGACCAAGAGTCCTATATTTTCTAAATCTGACCTGCTAGCAAGACATCCAACTAAAGAGTACATCTAGAATTAAATGCAAAAGTCCGAGAGCAATTTGGGCTGAAGAAATTGGAAGACCTCAGCTGATACTTGGTAGTGAAAGACATGGAAATAAAGACCCAAAACCAAAGTCTGAAGAATCGGGCATTTCAAGGTCTGCAAATGGGGGATTAAGTGATAGCTCTCCTCCAAAATAGGAAGCATGGGGCTGGGGATTTAGCTCAGTGGTTCCGCCGTCTGCCTCACAAGCGCAAGGACCCAAGTTCAATCCCCAGTACCAAAAAAAAAAAAAAAATAGGAATCATTTCTTCTGGATGCTGTATCAACTTTCCTAAAATGAATATTCTAATTTTTATAATTAACTTCCTCAGGCCAGAAGGCCCCATAAATACTGTCAACTTTTCAACACTGAATTTAGTGCCTTTTTATCCTCATACTATACCATGAGTATATAATTAACTGTATATACCTAAAGTTTCTGAAAGAACCTCTTTCTTAGGCTTGCTTGAGAAAGCAAAACAAAGATGTTTTTAAAGGATGAGTTCATTTGGCTTTTTAAAATTTTTCACTAAAAAAGAAGATAAAATTACTTAATATCCTTCCTTGTTCAAAAGATCAACTTATTTTGCTACTTTTTATCTTGTAAAAAATGTGTTTTGTGTGATAATTGCATAGATAATTCCATTTGTAGTTTGATGTAGTAACCGATCACTGAGCACCTGCCATGAGACGGATTTGGCTAGATACCAGGGGGAGGAATGACTGACAAGCCCATCTTTCCAGGAGCAGAACCTGTTTAAACCAGTTTCCCTGGTTGCTGTATAAATAGTATAGTAGAATTCTGAAATCTTAAATTTAGACATCTTGAAAATAACAGCTCACCAGCCTTTTTTAGAAAACATGATGTTCAGAGATTGGGAAAGAGCCCAAAGAATAGAAGTGCCACTGGCTGGGTACTTGTCCTTGGGCAAAGCATTATAGCTTGACCTCAGCTTCTCCTGACTAGATGCCACATCTTTCAGATGGTTAGGAGACTTAAATAGAATATATACACAGAAACATCTAAAGAACTGTAAAACAAAAGACAGTATGTCTCATAACTTCTGCCTACTCTAAAACTCTGCGCAGATAGTTTTCTTATATCCAGCAATGAGCACTAGATCAGTAAACTTTCTCAAAATAGCACATTAGTACCTGAGCTAGACCTCCAGCATGTATCAGTGTTATGTCAGGCATCCAGGAGCATCCAGGAACCACTAGGCCATAAAGCGCAATCACAAAGTAAGGAACAGAATAGAACATATACGCCAGCATCTGCATTGAACAGAGAAATAACATCAGCAAATTAACAGCTTGTCCTGAATAAAAAGTAGAAAAATTAACATTCAAATATAAAATGTCCATTCCTGTTCCCTGTATAGGATCACCTCTCACCATTAGAGAGAGAATTAACTTTAGAAAAAATCTTAGGCTTCATACTACTTGACCTGAATTTTAGGATAAGCAGCAGGATCCTTTAGGTAGGGCTCTTGAAATTGTGTATATAATCGGCAGAGCTCAGCTGGGCAGTCCAAAGCAATCTAAGAGCAAAAATGAATTCATTATAAAAATACAATCACTTCTGGTTCTTAGGTTTGGTGATAAGGCTAAATGTGCCAGGTTTAGTCACAGGCTGTTTTGCTATTTAACAAAGAACTATGCACTGTAGAGGCTCATCGGGGAAAGTAAAGAAAGAAAATACTCTGCAGACTTATCTAAGGAAATGGAGCAGAGGTTAATAGTGGAGCTGGAAATAGAAACTAATGGTCCATTCTTGGGTATCTTTCAAGTATTCATAGTTTAAGTATCTAGGTTTGGCAGGCCAAAGCACAGCTTGCTTTAGATTACTAGTTTCACTTCTCCTGGGACTAACTAGCCAACTAGTCCCTACAAGAAAGAAAACACATTTCTATACCAAATTAATCTTACTATGCTTTGCAAGATTCAAAAATAGCATCCTCCTCTCTCCAGTGCCTCACAGAATGTGTGGCCTTTGAGGGCAGTAAAGGATAACAATTTGAAAGCAGGGTCCTCTTGTCTCAACCCACCTCCTCTGTCCACTTTGAAAGAGAGCAGAGCAGATTTAGTCCCAAGAGTAGACACAGGCCACAGAATAGACAAGTGTCTCTTTGGTACATTATGGGGTCCCCTTGGAGTCATATTACCCCCTTCAGCACTATTCTTGCTATCCTTGACCATAAATGAAATGTTGTCCCACCTAGGTAACAGACAGGACACAGGCCAGTGGCAGAGCTGGTAAAAGCAGGCACCAGCCCCAAAGCCCCACCCACTATGCACACATACATTTTCTTTGTGTGAAAGGGAGGTGGTTATGCCATTCAGAAATACAATCAGGTCTCACTCTTTGCTGTTGTTTGAAATTTTGGAATTACAGCAAATTAATCAAAGACCAGTTTTAAGGGGTCTGAACAAAGCCTAAAGCCCTGCCTTCCCTGTAGTTCCTTCTCCTTTTAACCAACTCCTCCAGGAAGAGTGATCCACAGAGACAGCTCTCACCCTGAGCCCTAAAGGGATCATACAGGCCCCTTATCGCTCAAGGACCCCAAAACAATGAGTTAGCTCTATCACCTTATATTTGCCACTCTGTTCCCCAAGTGTGGGACAACACTAGCAGCCTCAGAAGATTTAGTAATTATGTCACTGAAACTGAATAAAAATAACCAAATAATTCAGAGCTGCTCAAATTTATTTCTGCTAGACTAAGTTATGAAACTGTTGTGAAGGCTGACTGATCAATTATAATAGTAAAAGCAATCACTTGTTGAGCACTTATAATGTATAAGACCCTCTACCAAGACTTTTATGTGCATTTTTTTACTTAATCTTCAAAACAAAATGATCAGGTAGGTAGAAGTATTTTAAAGAGGACAAAATTGTGGGTCAAGAAATTTAATTTTTCCAAGGCCACACACTAATGAAAGGCCAGGAATCCAGCTCCAAAGCCTAGAAGCCTCTTTCTTATCCTTTACACCACGAAAATGACAAAGAGAAGACAGAAAAAAATGTAATGCCCAGATGCCATTAATGTTTACCAGTCGCATCAATACAGAAGACTCCAAACCTCAGCTTAGTTTACTCCACATGACTCATACCAATGAGAAACTCACAGGGCCTTGCATGTATGTGAACTGCTGGGCTTGATGGCCCTTCATGGATCTCCTCAGCCGTACTCTGAGAACACATTAATGCTCTGTGCCACAGCTGTACTGCAGTCTTAGGGTATCACCCTGACCAAAGATCTTTACATTTAAATCAGAAACATCAGAAGAAAGAAATTCCAGTGGTTATTTTTCAGATATCCTAAAATAAGGGAAGATATTTCTGAATAGAGCTTGATCCAAGGACCTGAGGGAGGTGCATAAGAAACAACCCAGAGGAAGCCACCCTTGGGAACAGAAGATTAAGATAGAGCAACAGGAAGCAGGTCCGGGCTCTAGAAGGGATATTTTGCTGAGAAATCTGAAAAAATAAAACTTATTTCCAGGTTTCTTCCATTTGGAACCATTAATAGTATAATAATGTTACTTTTGTATGCTTTCTGAACCTGAGTCTTACCGTGTTTCCCAGGCTGGCTTTGAATCCTGAGCTCAAGGGATACTCCTGCCTCACCAAGCTAGGTACCTACAGCTACAGGCATGCATCACCACAGCTGGTTAATGTTATTTTGATCTGTTATGCTTACCAAGCCTCTAAACAGGCAAAATCCGGTTGCCAGTAGGAGACACATGACTAGCATTAAATCAAACGGTCTTCTCAGCAGGTCTTTTGCTTGAGCTTCTTGAACAACCTAAAATAGAGTTTGTATCTAAAGAGCAAGCCCAAAATCCCAAAGAAGAATCTGAAACCTACTGACACATGGAATGCTATGATGGATGAGGAAAAGGATTTTGAAGATTCACAATTCATATCCTAAACCACTGGACTTTCAGGACAGTCATTTGCCCCGTGAAGATCCAATTTCCTCTTTTATGAAATGATGAGATTGGACCAGGCAATCCTGAAGGGTGCTTCTAGCTCTGAGTCCCCATTTCTTTCTTAAAATAACATTTTCATGATTATAAAGGTAAAATAAACTCATTTGAAAAATAAAGACACTTTAAAAAGTAAACCATAACCCTGCCACATCACTATTAGTAGGTGATATACTTTTCATATGTACATACACATATACTCAAATATGTATAATGTTTTCTACAAAGCTAGAAATAAACAATTTTTCATTCCTTGGTCACTCAGCAACTACCTATATGATAAACACTGTGCAACATTATTAAAATTCTAAAACCTAATACCGTATGGCAGTATCACATTTTTGCTATTCTCCCACTGTGGGACATTTAGGCATTTTTCACAGTTAATGTTCAGTGTAATGATAAACAACTTTGTCCATAAATCTCTGACAGCATCTCTCCAATGGTTTTCTTAGGATAGAGCCCTGGATGTGGAATCATTAGGCTGAAAGGTTAAATTTTGCAAGGTTGATGGCATTGCTAAATTGCTTTGTAGGGCAATTCTGAACTTGTGTTCCTATCATTTCTGTGTGACAATGTTCATTGTCCTGTCACTGTGTTTCACTGTTAAAATAATAACAAATGGTTTTATGTGTCATATGACACACTCTGTTGACACATGGGCATGGAGCTTTTGAAAACAGAGCCAGGGCTAAGGCTAGGTTAAGTTTAAACTTAGTAAAAATCACCTTTGAGGGGTAATTATAATTTTCTGATGGCTGATTATAGATTCTGAAACCTGCCCAGACAGGAAGACAAGTGTATGGTATGCTTAAGAAAAAAGCAGGGCATATTCGTGTTCCATACTTCCCTGTTTAAAAGAAAAAGAGAGAGAAAGTCAAAGGTTTACCTAAAGAATATCTAAACACAAATAATATTTAGGATATCTCCCTATCTCAAATCATGTAAAATTTTGCTAAAGACTAGTTAATATTTTAATGAGATGAAGAAAAACAAGGTTCATTTAAAACAATTAGATGTTTATTAACAGGCATGTCCTATATACAGTATTAAAAAATACACGTAATATCCCAGTTTCTTGCTACATAAATAGCCTTGCACTTTAGGCTTCAAGAGTCTTAATTTCCAAGTACATTTATCAAGTTCTCGTAGTGCATTAGGAGTGATATATAATAAAGTATTGTAAGAAATATCTGCATACTAACTGTAGTCACAAATGCCATAGTCAAGCTCTCTAGATCCTTCCAAAAAGTTAGGAATCACTGATACTTGACTAATTGTTCAGTCTACATTATTGACAATTGTTCAGAAGCACTTATAAGGTAAGATTATGGAGAATGGGAACGATTTGCAAAAAGGGTTTTTATAGGTTTGGAATCTCTTGGCTATAACTGAAATTAACTTCTTTATTTTAAAAAAATTCCCATTATTACAGAATAGGAAAGTGAATTTTAAAATAAAGTTTCTTACCTACAATGTTTCCAGGCACAAAAACAACAATGCTCATGATAATAGATCCAACCCAATATAGGCCAATGGTTCTGTAACTTTCCCTGTAACAAAAAAATCTTGACTTAGTACACTTGTCTTAGAATACTAATTACCAAAAGATCCTCAATATTATTTTTTATTCTAATTAGTATATTACATGAATTGAAACATTTAATAAAAAGCAAATCAATAAATCTGATGATCAGACCTCATTTCCTTATGCAATATTCCACAGAACCTTTTTTGTCTATTTGGATAGGAATTCGTGCCTGCTACACTGATCTGCAGCTAAACTGCAATATGGTCATCCTGGCCACAGACTCCTGCATTTCTCTACTATGTATGAAACTCAAAGCACGAAAGAGTAGAGAAGGTTCAAAGAAGAACACTGGATGCATACTCTAATTTATTATAAGTATGAGTAATAGCATATAAAATGGTCTTTGGCCAACAATTTTGGCCAAAGCCCCAAAGGTGGAGATAATAGCTTGACACATAGCCAATGTTCTGGAGCAGCTGCTAGACATCTACCCTAATCTTCAAAGCTGACACAATGTTGCTTCAACTGATAATCCAGTAACTCAACTCCATGCTAAATAAGAGGTAATGAAAAATTCAAAAGGAGATTCTGTGAGGGGAAACAAGTAGAGAACACTGTGCTTCCAGACTGATGCCAGCCCCCAAGCAAGTGAGGCTGACCCCACATAGACAGTCAAAATGAATTGGATTACCAGCAGGAGAACAGACAAGAACTAGTTGGAGCTGTCCTTGAGTACATGGTGACCAGAAAGGGAGAAGCGCAAATGAAGCTGTGTGTAAGCCTTGTATGGGGTACAAAGGTTTGACTCTCTAACCTGGAACCAAGCGGAGGCCTGGGAATGTAGCCGAGCTTGAGCCATCCTGGAGAATCCCTCCCCACAGAGTGCACCTCCTGGGATATAGAAAGATACAGCAAGCAGACCACCAAGTGTGGGAGAGTCACAAATCCAGCCAGAAAGCATTGCTTACTTAGGGACAGATGCCATGCAAAGGTTCCTGCCATAGGGTCTCCAGAGTGCTCCATAAGACCCAGCTAACATTTCATGACAGAGAGTCCTAGTATCCAGAAAATAGCAGTTGTCACATAAGACTTCCCCTCTTCCTTTTATCCTGTGGACACACACATAATCCCAGAGGAGCCAAACACATCTCTGTGTTTGGGTGCAAGCACCCGAGTGTAAGGCTACATCTGAACTGAGGGATAAGCTTTGAACTGAAATGAGGTGGTTGAAGTTTCAATTTAGAATGTGCAAGGCTTTATTTCCTGCAAATGAGACTGTTCCTAGAAGAAACAATCAGAAAACATGGGGTTCAGTCCATCTGAGCTGTCACCACAGCTGGGAGGCAATCCAGGGACATACTCAAAAAGGCAGTGGTGCAAGGAAAGTAAGGCACACCTAACTTTTACCTGTGGCACTTACATTCTCATCTGCCCTACCTGTTTGTGTACTGGGTTCTGTACACAGGTTTTCCTTACATACCCATTTATCAATGGCAAACGCACACACACCAGGTGAACTTACTCCCATGCTATGGCTGCCACCATCACGAGGTACATCAGATAATGAACAGAGCCATCCCAGTAGCAGATCATGTGCCCATAGGCAGTGTTCAGATAGGGTTCACCCTAAGGAAAGCATTAATAAGAAGTCCACTTTAAATAAGATACAAACATTTAAATGCAAAACACCAGACCTGTACTGCAAATAGAATAAAACAGTAGAACTAACTGGTATTCATCTGCTAGGATGAAACTATTCCAACTTAACTGTTAGGAAAGTGAAAATAAAACTTTACCCAGGAGCTGCCAAAACCAGGGTCTGTCATGGGGATCAAATCAGAGAATGTCTGTTTAGTTGGCCTGTGATAGATCAACACATAGGATTGTACAATGACACAAAGACAGTAGTATGCGACCTAGCTGGACGGCCAACTCTGGGGCCAAGCCACACTCATGACTAGAGGTCCTTGGCCATAGCCAGAAGGGTGCCCAGGAAAGACCCTGCTTACTAGAGCTACTGGCTGGCCTTAACCATGCATGCTGACCCCACATAGAGGGCTGGCTGGGCTGGGCATGAGGAGGCACTCATACCCTTCTTACACAGACATACGTGGCACTGGATTCCAAGATTACCACAGACCCTTCGCCAACCTTCCCAACAACCCTATGGGATGGACATGACTTACAGATAAGGAAACAAAGGCCCCAAAAGATTACAAGGTTTGCCTAAGGTCACATAGCTAATATGTGGCAAAAACACCCCAAAAAGCTATACTTCTCTGGAGAAATTTTTTAATTTCATAAATTTTATGAACACAGATTATATGATGAACTACATTTCCTTTTTCTAATTGGTCATGTTTCTAGGTGGCTGTTAAGAAATCACTGTCCAGGGTGCACAAGTGGTTAGTACTGCCCTGCCTCCACTTGGCCTTCCTCTCTTTCTCCTGCGTATGCTCTCCTGGCTTGTCTTGCACATGCCCCTAGCCACACATCTCTTCTTCAACAAGGAAGAATGCGGACCAACCAGCCCATCAATCAGCCAGCCAAGCAAGGCTTTCTTGGCAACTTCCTGCTCCCCTCGGGCAAGCATTACTCTGTCATCTCTCCCCATGAGTCAAATCAAATTAAAATCACCACAGAAGGGGAAACACTACCAAAACTGTATTTCTGTGTCTATGCAGGCCCACATTGTTTCGGTCCCTGACATGCTCTGCTTGGATGATGCCATCTGATTTCATGCTTTGGTCATCTGCACCACACAACTAGGCCCTCAGCCAGTGCTGGGCTCTCCTGGTGGCAGGGGAAGCCATGAAGTGGTTATTTTATTCCTCATTTTCTTGTGCAGTCCTTTGGCAAATCTTGTGGATTTTCTCTATGATGTCACCCTAAGGAACTCTCCCTCTTTAGCATGGCTTGGGTCAAACCTCAGTGTCCCCCACTGGATCACTGTTACATTCCCAGTGGTCTCCCTACCTTTGTCCTCCTTCCAATCCATGACACTCTTGCTGCCAGACGAATATTCATGTGGCCTGACTGGGCATGTCACTCCTCTACTCTAAAACCTCCCCAAGCTTGTCACTGCCTGAAGGACCAAGCCCCATCCCCTCCAAATAATTACTGGATCCCCAGCCTGAGCTTGCAGAGCTTGCTATTATTAGACCCCATTTCCTCTTCCTGTTCCCCATCTGCCCCAGTGCCTGCCACCATCCTTCCTAAAGCCTCCCTCCTAGGGCACAGCACCTCATTCTCCCTTTGCCTCCTTGCCTGTCCACCTCTGTCTACTTCAGACTCCTGGGTACCCACTTCTGGTCCTGGTCTCCAGAGTTCCAGCCTCAGCCCCTTCACTCTCCATCATCTTCTCTGGCATCTTAGGCTGCTGGTACCAACTGTAGTCATGTGGCCCTCAAACCTCCCTGCCAGAACTGTTCCTCAGAGCTCAAGACCTCCAAAGCCCTGGCAGCCAGGACATGTGCCAGGATGTCCCTCGAGCACCTGAAACTCCACATGTCCCCAAATGAACTAAGTGTCATCTCTGCAAACCTGCACCCAGCAGACAGCACACAGCATTCTCCTCCCTGAGCCACTACTCAAGCTGTCCCTTCTGCTCAGAATGCCTTCCACCTCCCTTGTCCGGCCAAAAACAGCTGCCATCCTCTCCCATGGCCTCCTTTTACAGTGCTATAGCAGCATCCCCAATTCTACAAGGCTTTCCCCAGCCATTGCCAGAGTTCACTGTGCTGGGCCTGGGGGGAGCCTCTGTCACTGCACCTAGGACAGTGCTGTGGCCCCACATGGAGGGCAGGAAGCAGGTCCCATGACTCCACAGTCTCCTTCAACAAATGTCTACAGAACTAAAGTCCTTCTCTCATGCCTCTCTAATGGAGTGACACCAGCTTCCTTCCAAATTTCAGAGCAAAAATCAGGAAATCACCTTGGGCATGACCTTTCTGGTTATCCCCAACGTGTCCCCAAGTCCTACAACCACTTGAATTCTCTTAAGTTCAGCCCTGTATTTTCAAGTGCTGCCTCTGTCCAACCACTGTCACACCTGGCTGACCCTGCAGAAGCCTCTTCTTGTGCCCTAGCTCATGACATTAAACCTTCCCCAAAAGCCCATCCTCCCAGAGCTGTCTCTTTCCCTGATTTACAATTTCCCCTTATATACACGATGACATCCAAACTCCCCATTATCTGAAATGCAGATGAAGACTACATTTTCAGCTCTGTTCCTTATTTCTGGGTGATCAGGGGCAAGTCATTTTCTGTGGCTGGATTCAGCCCATCATAAATAAGAAAACAAGACTAGTTCCCTCCAGGGCCATGATTTGGTTGGGAGTTAATCATCACAATCAAATAGTTTAATTACCTCGATGCTTAGTATCTCACAAATTTAAGACTAATTTGGGCTTTCTGGAACTGTAATATAATAGATGCACAAATGCTAAATTCACTGAAAGTTCCTCATTTAAAGGGAAAAGATATTTTGGTCACAAGGTAGGACAGGAGTGAGGGGACAGTTATGAGAGCAGATTTACTTCTCACCATCTCAACTCACCTTTGGGCTTCACCTGCCACAGGAGTAACCAGCCTAAGCCTATGCTAGGAAACAAACCTGCTCTCGTAACAGAGAACTAAAGGCCAGGCCAGGCTGCAGCCCGCTGGTGTGTGCCTTGCTGCTCCCATGCAGCGCTGTACCTCTCTCAAGTAGTGGGTCATGAAGCCATCAATGACGCCATCTTGCTCCAGTCCTATGATGAGGTTCACCACGCTGGTAAATCCGAAGACAGCATACACTGGAGCAGAGAAGGCCACAGTTTAGAATGCAGCCCGAAAGAGGCAGTTACTGAGAGTTGAAACTCAACAAGGATAATGCAATGCTTCTGATGCCATGGACACACAGACTAACAAGCCACACCTTTTGCACTTTCAGCCAGGTCTCTGCCTGTCCTCCTGGGTCTCCCCATCCCTGCCCAAGAGCTCTCACTGAGGGAACACAGGTCACAGAAATAGAGAATGATAGTCACCACTCACTGTCCCAGAAGGTTCTCCAAGTCACCCCCTCTAGCTTCCACTCGTTCAAGTGGCTGGCCAGAGCCAAACCCATATCCCACCTGGGCAAAAGGAATAAAGCCAGTCACCAAGTGGCTAAAGAAGTGCACAGTGACCACAAGCTTTAAAAGAAAGATGACATAAATCCAAGTGTGGTGGTGCACAACTGTAATCCCAGCACTCTGGGGGGCTGAGGCAGAAGGATCACCAAGTATGAACCAGGCATAGGTAACTCAGTGAGACACTGTCTCCAAAAAATAAAAATTTTCTTGAAAGGCTAGGGATATAGCTCACTGGTAGAATCCACCTGAGTTCCATCCCCAGTACTGAAAAACAGTAATAAAGATGTGAGTGATTCATCTTGGTGATGACCACACAGGCCAACTCACTGTGTCCACGTATTTGCCTGTTGGTGTACCTTGGTGCACAAATGCTTTTGTTTGCAAACAATTTGGTTTGCAAACAAAAGCATTTCGCAAAATTTTGTTTTTGTTTGCAAACTTTTCATCGGATAACAAACACAACCATGGCCATCTTTCCCACAAATGTGGCCATGTTTTCCAAAATCATGGAACAAATTAAGTTTGTGAGCCAAGGTACCACTATAACTGGTGTGCAAATGACATGATTTTAAAAAAACACACACACCAGTGATTTCAAGAACTGAATACACGTAAGATGGTACAATCCACTTTGAGAGAAGGAACACTGACATGTCTTAGAGAATCATACCAAGTTGAGACTCTCCTAAACAGGCTTACAATTACTTAACAACAACTAGCTAAGGAATAGCACCCTTTAAACAGCAGGAGACCAAATCAGCCCAGGGGAGTTGTCAAGAAAGCTGTGTTTTCAAGTTGCAACCAACTGGTGTCTTAGACCAGAGGATTGGGGTAGACAGGAGAAAGGTCTGCTGGTGGATACAGGAAAAGCTGTGCACAAAGGAGAGCAGGGGAGGCTGATTCACAGAGAAAGGAAGCTGGCCGTGCAGAGAGTGTGTGGCCAGAGTTCAGTGTCCCCATGTCTGCCTGAAGGATGAAAGGCCACATGTGCCCTGCAGCTTGTACCCTCCAGTGTCTCCACGAAGGCTCACAGGCCAGTTCTCACCAGTGTCATTGTTGGACACTCGTTTCTCTGAGGCTTCCCAACAGGCCAGCCTTCGTCCATCTCCTGGGTAGGGGGGCAGTTAGCACATCTCCCAGCCACTGTGATGGCAACAGTGGTGCCAGACACTGGCTCCGCTTCCTAGTGGGCAAGGAGCTGGCCTTGAGGCTGCAGTGTTCAAAGCTAGAACAGACCCATGACATAGGATGCAGGGTGCGAGACTGGGGCTGCCCTGAAGACTGGAAAAGACTTAAGTGAGTCGAGTGTGGTCTCCATGGGGCCAGACTGGAGAGGCAGGACTGAGCAGTGGGAGGCCCATCTGGGAAGGTAGACTGAGGCCAGCTGAGCAACGGGAATAGGGCAAGAAAAAGGACAAGGGCTCTGAGGTCAGATAGGCCCAGCTTTTCTACCAACCAGCCATGAAAGCCAGGGCAAGTTACAGACATTTTCTAAGTTGCAGAGTTTTTTACAGGTGAACTGGGAGAAACTAAACTCACAATCCACCTTTGCCAAGGCCTGCTATGGCACAGAAGGTTGCCCAAACCTCTAACAAGGGGCTGGCCCTGTGGCTCACTTTGGCCAGCAGAATGTGGGTGGAGATCTGCAATCCCAGCACTCTGGAGGGCTCTGGGCCCAGTCTGGGCACTTAATGACTTAGCGAGATCCTGTCTCAAAATAAAAATAGAAAACGGCTGGGGATGTAGCTCAGTGCAAAGGCCCTGTGTTCCATCCCCAGTACTGGGAAAGAAAATGTGATGATGGCCAGCTCAAGCCAAAGCCATAAGAGGCATCGCTTTCTTCCCACTGACCCTTCTGTGCTCTGTATCCCCATGAGGCAGGCAGAGCCCAGGAGCAAGGAGACGTGTATGGCTGCACAGGCTTGGGGCATGTTTGACATCTGCATTACTGAAGCAGAAACTAAATGAAGAAAACACCTGAAGAGTCCCAGGCACAGAAAGTACTCAGAGCCCAGTAACTCCTTTGCCCCAGACACACGCGATAAAGGGTCTGGGCTCTGGATCAATGCCATTCTCACTAGCTACGTGACCTGATCATGTCTCCAAGCATCTCTAAGCTAGCGTCTCCATTTGTTGTGAAAATTAAATAAAATAAAATTGCTAAAGTGCTCAGTGGCTTACCAGAAACACTGCAGGTGCTCAATCATGGTGTTTTTTTATTTATTTAATACATATGTGTATTTGCCAGGACCTGACCTAAGTACTTTACAAATACCATTTTATTTAACGTTTATCCCAACCCCTCACAGTAGGTGTAATTATTTCCCTTTTTGTACAAATGTGCAGACTGCCACACACACAAAGTGGAGGGAATTGCATGTGCCAGGCTAAGGGCAGGCAGCCCAGCAGGAGGCAGAGTAAGAAGGGCTGGGGTCAAGGGGGTGAAGACGGAGGCCCCCCTGCCCTGGCAGTGCCCCTCCACCAGAATCCCCCGGGAAGTGGGATCCATGGCCTGGGAGAGGCCACAGGCAGTGATGGTAAACCTTCTAGAGCTTTCAGAGATACAAACAGCCCACCGAAGCACATGTACCATAGGTTCACCACCACTGGCTTCAAGGAAAGGGCCACACTGTCCTCAAACATCCCTTCCTTTCCAGCCCCCATTCTGGCAGGCCACAGTATTCACCACCAAGGAGAAAAATGGGACTAAGGGCAAAGTTCTGTGTTACCAAGTGGACACAAACGGTTTCCCTGAAGGAGACCTACCGTAGAACAGTGGGTCCCGAGGTGGCTTTCTTTTGACGAGAACTCGAGCCAATAGGGCTACCAGGAACAGGATGAGGGCAGCAACTCCTACAATTGTCCAGGAACTGCAAGGATCAGAACAGGGAGGTGGTCACTTAGCAAAACAAACACAGTGGTGCCTGGAATTTCCTGACGTTGAATGCATTTGTTCCAGCACTGCACAATTCAGCCATAATCCTGCCTCTGCCATAGCTCAGGCACTGAGAATCAATGAAATTGATCTGCAGCACTTTGGCCTCTCTAGACCACAGCCCTGTGACTTTCAGAGACCAAAGCCCCAGGTCTTCATTCTCCTCTTCTGCCCACCTGTCTCCGTGGCACAGATGAAATGTCTGGAAGTGCTCTGACCCCACCCTACCCTGCTCCTAAGATGCCCTGCCCCCTGCCTCTACCTACCTACCTACCTAACCTGTTCCCCATGGCTGACAGGCCTAACCACTGAACCTGCCACCTCCCTACCCTCAGACTGAGCTGCAGGGCACATGCAGGAATCACATGCCTTCCTGGGGGACAAGATGTGTTCTGCACCTGTGGCAGGCAGTGTTGCAGGTCCTGGGAATATAGAATGCACAAGGAGGCCCCTGTGTACATGGAGGGACTTATCTCCACCAGCTCTGAGTTCTACCACCCACGAGGTCACCTCAAATCATGAAGAAATGCTCTCCCTCTCATACCCCCAGCACCAATAGGGCTTCCAATTCTAGACGGAGAACCCCTGCCCCACTCCAGTGGCCTGCTACACCACAACCTCCTCCTAGCTCCTTAAAGCTGCTGAAAGCACCACTGAGATCCCTTCACACCACCCTCCAACCTCTGTCTTGGCTGTGTTCTAGCTTTGAACACACTGCAGCCCACAGTCAGGTCACCAGCCAGCTCCCTGCCCACTAGGAAGCCTGTTCCTGAGACTTTTGAGTGACCTTCACATATGCCCCTGGGAAAGAGGACAAGAATGATGAAAGGGAATGGATGGATGGGTGAAGGATCATAGGCAAATGGATGGATGGGTAATGGGTAAATAGGTGGCTAGATAGATGATAGATGAATCGGCTGACAGATTGATGGATGCTGGATGGATGGATAATGGGTAAATGGATGGATGGGCTGACCAACTGATTGATGATGAGTCGATTCTATGATAAGAAAGAGGATGGATGGCTGTGTCAGTGTGCAGGTGACAAAACTAGGAGGTTTCTGGTAGTGCACAACAGTGGTTGCTTCAGGCCCCTCCCCAAAGGATGAGCTGATGAAGTAAGAAGCTGATGTGGGTCAAGGCCATGATACTGGGTTGTGATTATCAATGTGATGGGCTTGAGAGCCACAAGGGGATTAGTAAAGCACACTTCTGGATGTGTCTGGGTGGGTCATGAAGTGTGATCTGGGAGTCTGTATCTGCTCCCTTGCCCATCCTCTCTGGTGCTCTTCCCCAGTCTCTGTTCTCCAGCCTTCAGGAAGTGAGTAGCCTTGTTCCACCATGTCCTTCTGCCACAATGTTCCTGCCTTGGGACCAGCTGACCATCAACTGAACCCTCTGAATGAGTGAGCCAAAATAAGCCTCCCTTACATTGCAGATGTCAGGTATTTTGTCCCAACATCTGGAAAGCTGACCAATGCATGGGCTGAAGCACCAAGTAGGGAGGAGGGAAGACGTCAGTGTGCGATTAGACTATGGGCATACTGACAATGGGCAGCTGAGGCAGGAGGTGGTGGGCAGACAGCCCCCTCCCTGCCCAAACCAGGCCCTGAGCTCACAGACAACACGACTACAGGGCTGGTGTGCCTCTGGAATCTTCAGAAGCCCTGTGAACTGATTCACAGCTTCCTCTCATGGTCTCCACCTGGAGCGGAGGAGGAAAGAATGATAGGAAACCGGGGCAGAAAATCCTCTCTGCCTCCCAGCACTATCCCCAGAGACCTTCCTATGACTGCCAAGTGCACCCCCTGCTCAAAACAGGCAAAAACAGGTTCAGTAGAGGCTCTAGGAATGGGTGAGGGCTGCAACTAACCCAAGGGGAAAAGGCTGTTAATCTAGGGCAGTAATGACAAATCTTTTAGAGCCTTCAATGATAACAAACAGCCCACTGTAGCACGTGTGCCATAGCCTCACCACCACTGATCTAGGAGGTAGATGCCCCTCTGTGAACATAGATGCCTGACAGGGAGCACATATGGGTGAGAGCAAGCAAACTGTGTGTGTATGTGCGTGTGGAGGGAGAGAGAGAGAGACCCCAACTTTTCCTTTCTGCCCCTTCACCTGTTTGCTTTTTCTATTTCTCAGCTCAAGTTAACAAAGTTGAACATCACCAAAAGCCTCCTTTGTGCAGGGCACTGGGCTGGGCTGACAGTACTAAAGTGAGCTATGGCTTGGAAGGTGACGTGGGGAAGCAAGTCCTGTGGGAAAGGTGCAGCCAGGCGCAAATGGGTCTTGAGACAGAGAGACATCTCTCCTTTAGAGAGGGGTCCACAGAAGGACTACCTGACCTCCACTCTGGGCCACAAAACCTGGTGTGGCTTCAACAGTAAGCAACAGGAAGGGAGTGGAGGGGACCAAGGAGGCAGCAAGATGGCCAGGGGATGCGGGAGTAGAGGCAGCCTGGTGTGGCTGACACACTGGGGGAGGGTGCTGGGGGAGGTCTTGTGGTCAGGGATGGATCCTGGGCCACCGTCCAGCTCAGAGAAGGCCATCGCTAGGGGAAACTGGAGGGAGGGAACAGACACTAGACGCCCTGGGACCATGGGGAAGGGGACAGCAGGAGGAAGGGAGTGGAAAAAGACCAAAGCACCTTAGGCTTCTCCGAGTTTTGTTTTGTTTTATTTTGTTTTCTGAGATGAGGTCTTTCTATGCTGCCCAGGCTGGTCTCCGGCCACCTCAGGCTCCCCAAGAGGTGGGACTACAGGCATGCGCCACTACACCTGGCTAGGCCACTGTAGCTTTCATCGGCAGGAGGACGTGAAGGACAGTAGCACACAGCAACACATTATTCTGTCTGCATTCAGTGAACGCTGTCACCATGTCCCCAGTACCCTCAAATCCTCTTTGCTCCCTTATAGCCCTGCCCTCCTGCAGGATATGCTTCCTCCAAATACCTGCCTCACTCACCAGCTTCCTACCGTTCTCTGCTCACTGTCCCCAGACCTTGCCATAGCTGAAGTTGTCACCTCCTCCAAGAAGCCTTCCCTGACGACCAGCTCCCTTAGCAGCCACCCTATTTTACTGTCTTCAGGGCATGTCGCTGTTTATGTCCTCGATGGCATCTGTTTCAGCACACTTTCACAGCTCTGACCCCAACCCCAGCACAGCTGAGCACGCAGCAGGTACTCAAACCCTCACTGAGCTGTTCAGACTGCTCTGGTGGAAGCACGGGGCCCCCTGCACAGTACTGACAGCCACATCACATTTGGCTGCCAGACCTGCAGCTTCCAGGAGATGCGCCCAGGGCCCAGGTCAGACCAAGGGCAGACGCTACCAGTGCTCAGAGTGCGCTGGGTCTGGGCACGGCCGCTGCCTCGGTGCAGACACTACAGCCTCGGTCTGAAGGGGTTCGCAGAGCGCGGACTGATGCAATTTCCTCAGCACCAACTGCTGCGAGAAACGGCACCGGTCACTTCCTCCTCCCCGCAGACCGCAGCCACCATCAAAGGTACGGGACTACCGCCTGCCCCAACTTCTCCTGCTCCCGGGGCTCCCTCCCTCAGAGTTCCTCCAGGGGGCCAAGGCAGGACGGCCTCCTACCGGTTCCCGCACGGAACTTCCCGCACCCACAGCGCCTTTCGCAGAGGGTTCTCGCCCGGCCCTCACGACACTAAGCAAGTCCAGACCATTGCACCGACTGGAAAGCGGGCTCGACCCCCGGTAGGAGTGAAGCCAAGCCCTGCACCCAGACCCCTCTTGCTGTGCGCCAAAGTCCGAACAGGGGACGCGGCCCGCAGCCCGAGCTGGGGGCGCCGCGCTCCGTGCCCGGCCTGAGCGCCTCGGGGGGCCCCACCCGCGCCCGCAAAGTTGCGGGGCTCCAGCCGCCCACTCACTCGCGCTGAGCCGCCAGGTGGTCGAAGATGTAGGTGACCGGGATGGCCGAGAGCGACAACACGAACACCCCAGTGGCCGCCGAGGCGCTCATCGCGGCCGCCGCGCAGCGCGCTCTTCACCGCATCCCGCGGGGGCCCGCCCCGCCCTGCCTTCCGGCGCCGCCCCTCCCCTCCCCTCCCCTCCCCGTCCCGCCCCACGCACCCTGAGTCCCGCGCCACGCCCCGCACCCCAAGCCCCCGGCCCCGCCCCTGCCGGGGACAGATGCGCTCGAGCAGGGAGGCCCCCGGCTGAGCTGCAGGCGGCGCAGGGTGGAGTCAGGCCTGGGAGTCAGCGGTGGTCCACACGGAGCCCATGGCCCAGGACGCGAAGGACCAGCGGTCCTGGAACCTTGGAACGTGGCCGAGTCTGCTGCAATCCCGGCTGCCCGCTCACCGGCTGCTAGCCTGGGCCACATTAACCTCTTAGTGTCTTTTCCCTTTGGTCTATGTACTGGGGATAACTGGCTCCTTGGTATGTCTCTTGGGTCACCTGAGTTAAGATGTACAAAGTGCTTACCCTGCGCTGCTCAGTACACTCAATCACTTGCAACCCTCTCCTTTTAGGTTAAAACTCATCCTTGGAGAAATGCCCTGACTTTAGGGTCCCCACCTCCCCACCCCTGTACCAGGGATCGAACTCAGGACCTTGCGCTTGCCAGGCAGGCGCGGTGTCCACCGAGCTACGTTCCAATGCCCTGACTTTGAAAGCACCCATTTCTGTTCCAAGAAGTGGTCCTGGACCCACTTATCCCCAGCCAGCCTCTCTGGGCCCTGTAGAGACAAGACCGGAAGACAAGAGCTGTCCTCAGGGTGTGGTCAGACAGGTGCCCACGGCTTCTGGAGAGCAGCAGGGCCCAGTGTAGCCTTCACTGCCTGGGCTGGCTCTGGGGATGGAGTCAGAAAGCACCCTGGGGCTGAGCCCAGCTTGGACCCCAGCTGGGGAATGGGAAGGAAAGGAGTTCCAGAACAGCTCAGACAAGAGAGGGCTGTGCTGGCCCTTCTCAGTGTCCCTGCATCTGAGGGAGAACTTAAGGGGCCATCTGCCTCATTTTAGACCTGAGGAAAACGAGTAACAGAGAGGCTATGACCTGCTGCAGGGCCACTCGAGTTTTTCAAAAGCCAATTCTCCTGGTCCGCTACCCTTCTTCTTGAAGGCTTCTCCAACGCCGAGCACATAATGGCAAACCCTTGGCACAAACCGCACCATATCCACTTTCTCCAAGAGGTAACCTTTCCTGTAACCGGGACATCACCCTCTTCCCCATCTACTCCTAACACTCCCCAAGCTCCTTACCCTCCTCCCCACACACCTCTGAGGCACCCACCCCTTCATCACCAGGAAACCTCCCTGCAGCAATCTTGCCATCTCTCTGACACCCTGAACCCCTCTGCTGCCCTGGACCCTTCCCTTCAACCTAGCCACGTGCTCAGGTAACTTGCAGTTTAGCAAAGTACTTGCCAGACCTGAGTTTCCACTCCACTTACCATCTTTTCTCTTTCTTTTCTCATCCACATTTGTATATTAAGTGATTTAATGGCCAAAGAAGATATTCTTTTTTTATTCTTATGTTCTTTTATTGGTACATTTTAGGTATACAATTGTTTACATTTATCATTGGGTGCTTTTACCTGTACATGATATATCTTGGTTCTTATTTTTTCCCCCAATACCTGTGCACCCTTCACCCCCTCCACTCTTCCCTATATAGATAGACTTCATTTCCATTTTTTTTCTTTTCTCATAATTTTTCTTTTCCCTTCTTTCCTTTCCCCTTCCCCTCCCATCACCCCTACACCTTTGGACCTTTCTAAGGAAGATATTCTTGATAAAATGTTTGATTTGAAAGGTTAAAAACTGTACACATAAGCATAATTTTAATGTTTACAATTATATAAATGCATAGAAGCATGTCAGTTTTAGTAATTAAGTTCTGAATGGTAGGATCAAAAGTGGTTTTTTGTCTTTAGATTTTTCATTTCCCAAACTCATACAACATTTACAGCCAAGAAAAATATAATCTTGAGAAAAACATATATAATAAATGATTTTTACCTTAAGTAGATTTGAAGTAGCAATCTTGATACTAAGATAGATTTTGTACACCCAGCCTATAAAATTTATTGTCATCTTTCCCTTCTAATCCAGGTTAAAGTGGACACAGCGGCTGTTGTCACAGTTTTCATGACCACTGTATGCTGATGGAGCCCAAATTCTGATCCCTCACACTGACCTCACTGCATGGGCATCCTGCTGGCACCTCACACCCAAAGTCCTTAGAACAGAGCTCCTGGGCTGCCTTGAGACCTGCTCCTGCTTTATCCCTTCACCCACTCACCTGAGCCCAAAACCCAGGGGGTCCATATCCGTGCTGACGTCCTCAGAATCCTTTGGTCAAAACGCTTCTGCTAAGGTTACTCCCCAAATACTGCTCAAGTCTTTTTCTCTTCTCTCCATCTACAGAGCACCCTGGTTCTGCTCAGTGTCATCTCTCTCTGGACAGTGCCTGATGTCGTCCTTCATCTCTCTGCCTCTGACTACTTGGCCGGGAAAACCTGACCACCCCCGCTTCTGCGTCTTCCGCACCTTCTATCCACAGCCTGGTGTACTTTTCATGGTATGTTTACTGTCAAAATGATCTTGTGCACAGTGTTCCCTGAGCCGTGCCTCTCCTCTGGTGTCATGCAAGCCACTCAAGTCAGGAACTTCCCTGTCCAGGTCACTGTCCCAGTCCCATATCTATCACCTGGCACGTAATGCATGCTCACAAGATATTTGTCCAGTGAGTGATCACAGTTGTTCAATAGAAATACAGTGTGAGCCATAAATGTGAGCCACATGTACATTTAAATTTTTAAGTAGCCACGTTAAAAAGTAGAAAGAAGCAGGTGGACTTAATTGAAGAACATTTAATTTTCCCCAATATATACAAAAGACCATCTTTTCAATATGTCATCAATAGGAAATATAGTAAGAGATACTTTATTTTCTTTCTTCAAACTGCTGTGTATGTTTGACACAGCCCATCTCAGTTCAGATCAGCTGCATTTCAAGTGCACAACAGACCAGTGCTTCTGCATGAGGCATCATGCTCTAGACTTCCTCCTCTTGTCCTACAGCCCAGGCTGCAGTCATGCTGCTGCTCTAAGTATGCGTGTGATCATTAAGTCACTCATCCATTTATTTGCACAACAGACATCCTCCTCCAGTCTACTGTTCCTAGTGTTGTTCTCTAAGTGGACACACAAAGACAAATTACCAACTGCTCAAGAAAACCACATTTTAGTGTGAGAAAGACAAGTACATAATCACCATACAATTCGGTTTTTTAAAAAAATATGTACAAATTGCTGCAGGAACCAACCAATTCTGTCTAAGGGAGCCAAGAAAAACTTCAAAGAGTTGGTGAGGTTTTAGATCAGCCTTCAAGAATAAGCAGAAGGTGACCAAGCAGACCAGCAGGAAATGAGGGTTTCCGGGCAATGGAGAAAGAAGGCAGAAATGTGCACAAGAGTAAGTCACTTCGTGAACTGTAAGTTGTTTGCTCTGGATGGAAATAATGACATGTCATGCAAGGGTGGGAGATGACGGGCAGTGAAGATGAGAGTTGATTGGGGCCTGCTCCATCCTACAGAACCTAAGTGCTGGAAGCCATTTAAGATTTCTAAGTGGAAGAAAGGGCTGATTGGTCAGAGGAGCGACTTTAAAGCTCTGTCTTTACAGCAGCTGCTGTGGACATTGGCTTAGAAGGAAGAGAGGCAAGAGGCAGCAAAACCAATTAGGAGACTACAATTGTCCTGGAAAGAGATGAGAGGACCTGAACCCAAAGGATGCCAGTGAGAGAGAAGAGGAGAGGACAGATATGAATGAAGAACTAGGGAGGAACTGGAGAAAGTGGAGAGGCGGTCACTTGAGATGAGCTTGGCTTTGAATGTACTGGATTTTCAGGACCCATGGGGCTGCCCAGGGGAGCTGTCCCCAGGCATTTGGGAGTACTGCTCTGTGGCCCCAAGAGGTACACAGGATGCAAGTACAAGTCTTGGGGTCACCAGCATATAGGCAGGGGTTTAAATCAAAGAGAACAGCAAACAGGAGCCCCTTGAGAGGGGCTGGTGAGCACTGCCACCAGCGGCTCAGCCTGTGGACATCTGAACTCAGTGGTGGCAGCATCCAACATCCTGGTACTGACAGCCACTCCCTTAGGGTCACCAGCACCAGAGGACCTGGTGAAGCTTTGAGGTATTGTGATAGACATATTGGAGTTCTGCGGCCTTTGTTCTCAGTGCTTCCTCTTAATGCTGAAAATAGGAGTGGGCAGAACACATGTAGTTGGGAAGAATGTTTCGTAGGAACCCTTCATGGTTTGTCGGGAAGAAGAGGAGGAGAAGGAGGAAGGCAAGGGGAGGAACATGGTTGGATTCTGAAACACTACAGTAGTCTATATTTTATTTTATTTTATTTTATTTTATTTATTTATTTATTTGGTACTGGGGATCAAACTCGGGTCCTTGAGCTTGCGCAGCAGGCAGCGAAACCACTGAGCCAAATCCCTGGCCCTGGTAGTCTATATTTTAAAAAGTAATTCCATAAGTATTTTCTCCTCTAAACCTCCCAACACCTCTCTGAGGAATATAGAGCCATTAACGGATGAAGGAACTGGAGCCCAAATCCCTGATTTGCTCGGGATCAAAGGACTGAGAAGAGAAATGGCAAACTTGAAGCCATGTCTCCTGGCTTTAGGTCACTAAATTCATGAGACCATGGCTGTCCAACAGCAAAGCACCGTGCATGGCACTGTATATTAGCAGTGGTGGGTGGGGACCTAGGGTGTAGTTTGGTGGTTTAAAAAAAAAAAAAGGAAAGAAAAGAAAATGGTGGACAACAAAAGAAAATGGTGGACAACAAATCTAAGATCTGTCAGTTGGCTCCTTCCTCAAGAGGTCTGGGGTCCTGCTCAATTATTAAATTTGAGGGAGGATCATATGAGGCTTTTAAAAAAGACATTCAGACAACGAGATTTTATAGAGCATCGGTCTCACAAGCCATGAAGTTAATATTGTAGTTGTAACCAAGCATCAGATTTGACTCCAAATTCCCTGAAAGC